CCGGCGAAGCGGAGGAGCGGCGGCGGTTGACAACACGTAACGGTAAGGTCGGCGACCTTAGGTGAGTTCTAAACTCGGTGTGGGTTCATGTTGTGTCTCTTCTCTTGGTGTTTCTCGGTGAGCCTCCGATCTTGGTGTGGAGGACCACCGTGTTACTCTTCTCGATTGTTTCCGTCTTCTAGTGGATTCGCCGGCATCGTCCGACCGAGATATAGGTCTGAGATTTATCTCGGTAACCGATCTCGTTAAAACTCCGGTTGTCTTCTTCTTTCACGCATGTACGAGTGACGAAGAGAATGGCGAGGGTTCGGTACCACTTCACAAAGTGGTATCAGAGCTCCGGTTCTTCGATCCAGGGAGATTCGCCGGTCATGCGAGGTAAGTTAGGGTTTCTTGGTTTTGGATTTGTCTGTGAGAGCGTTTTGATGGTTTTTTTAGTGTTTTAGCCGACAACGGAGCTAGATCGGCGATAATGGGAGGTAAATCTGAAAGTCTTGGGATCGACGGTGGCAAGATCCGTCGAGTTGGAGCGCCAAAGATCAATCTTCGACCAGGTGAGAGTCGGGTAAGTTTCTGACTCGATTTTCTTTATTTTTCCGCAATTTCTCCGGTTTGAGCCCGAGTTTCAAATGAAACTCGGCGTAACTCGGCGGAGAAAAACTGATCCCGGCGAAACTCGGTCCTGACTCGTTTGAGTTAGGACTGAGTGGAGGAATCGGGTGAGTCAACAACTGAGTTAACTCGGTTGACTCGGTGGCTAGGGTTTTCCGAAATTAGGGTTTCGGATTAAACCGGTTCAGACCGGTTTAATCGATCTAATTTTCGGTTTAACCCGGTTTGGGTCAATCGAACCTGATTCGATTCGATCCAAGTCCGGTTCTGGGCAGTCAGACCGGGTTCCGTCGGTTCAGATCGGATTCCAGCCGGTTCAAGCCGGCTCAGACCTAGTCCCGGCCGGTTCAGACCGGTTCACTCTGGTTCGGTCAATTCGCTGACCAAATTGGTCAATAGTTGTCCGGTTTAGGTCAAATCGGACCGATTCAGGTCCGGTTTGGGATCAATTGGACCGATTTAGACCGGTTCTGGTCAATCTAGGTCATGTTTAGGTGAAATCAGACTTGTTCTGACCGATTTAGGTCTGATTAAGGGTCTGATTTGTTCGGTTCTGTCTAATTCAGGCTCCACACTCTAAATCAATCTAATCTAGACCTAAACCACGAATTCAGACCTTAACCTGATCAATACCAGTTCTAAACAGATAAACCAGACTTAAATCAGACTTATTTCACTCTATACCGATCTAGATTTACCTAAACCAAATCCAATTGATCTAAACACGGACAATTCTAGCTATAAATTAGACATATATCAGACCTATACCTAGTCTAAACCGGCCTAAATTGACTTCTACCGGACTTAATTGACCTAAAACTGCTAATAATTTCAACCCTTATGAGAGCAGTCATGGTGGTAACGAGTAAAAGGGCAGTTCAGTGCACAAAAAGCCCGTGGTGGTGTTTTGTAAGCAGACCTTACCTTGCAGAAATATTCTACAAGAGGCGGCTTCCAGGACTGGAATCCATAACCTCTAGATCATAACTGGACAGCTTAACCGGTACCCCAAAGCTCCCCTTTTTGTGATAACAAAGAAAATGCTTGTAAAATTTTCAGCAACCCGAGAATTCACAGCACATTCAAAGGACGGGTCTCTGACCGGCTTTGGCCGTAGGATTGGAGGATCAAGAGGCTTTTGTGACATCGAAAACAGATTTTCCCTGTCAGTGACACTGAACATGATGATGTCTCTAGGAAGTGTTAAAATCTATAATAATGTCATGTTGTTGTGGCTCAGAGTTATAAACATCCCGTTGCCATCAGAGACGGTTCGTAAAATCAGTCACTTTTACTGTCCTGAGGTTTGGTTAATACTAACCAACACTGAACGAAAACAGAAGTGCCAATGTTTCGCGTGAGTGTTCTTGTCCGGTTCTTGGAGCTGTTTGATCTGATCTATAATATTGAATCTCTTCTACATAACATACAACAACCGATTTCTCTAATCGCTTCTAGATTTAGTGACAGAAAACCCAGACAGGACATTGGCTGAAACGTCAAGGCCAAATATCAGATACGCAGCTCACAGCATCACTGGATATGTTACACAGCCCGAGGCTCGAGTTCTGTCTGGTAAGTGTGATTCCGGGGAACGAAGATTGCTCGCTGCGAACTGTAATGGCGGCCGAGGAGGGATTCCCCGTCGTGAAACGCAGCGTGTTGATTGGTTGTGGTGGAGTTAGATGAGTTTGAAGGAACTGATTCAAGCTGCTTGTAAGTGACCCTCTTGCTACCAAATCTTCAGCTAGTTTCACCTGCAAGATAAAAAAAAAAAGGGCTTCGACTTTGTTTTCGGTTTCTTCTGTCCAGCAACTATTTTCCGAAAAGGGGAACTAAATACCTTGACTCTGAGAGTTTCCACATCTGATTTGAGAACTCTGTTACTTGTATCTGCATTCCGGAACTGTTGGGTTGCACCTATGAGCTGCTTGTACAAGACTGAGTTCTCTCCTCTCAGATTCTCAACCTGAAACAGAGAAACAAGACCAATCATGAAGAAGAAGCATCACCAATTTGGTGATCTGGGTTCTTACCTGTGACTCGAGATCTTGCAGTTGTTCTTGCTTTCTTCTCCTAGATCGTCTTGCGGATTCCCGGTTCGAGTACATCCTGCACCCATTTGCAAAAGGGGAAGGAAGGAATTTAACTTTTTCAGTTCAATCAGCGATGAGATTTTTCTGAAGCTTGTTTTCTTGGTAAGCAAGTCACCTTCTGAGACGTTTGATACCGTTTGGATCATCAGCCTGTTCAGATAGACCAGCTTCTGTCTCGTCATCTTCTTCATCAGATTGGTCGTTGTAGGATCCACTTCCAGCTCTCCTCCCTTCTCCTCTTGCCTCTGGCTTATTTGCGGACAACGGGCTATCAGCTGATAGGTTCTCTTTGCAAAACACAGTACAAATAACTCTCGTTAACATCATTTTCTACAACACCTATTTTGCTCACAACACACACACACGTGTATGTATATATATGTATGTATAGGACGTGCAGGGTAAACTAAGAGAGTCAGTACCGCAGATGGATGACTGAGCATCGATGGTGGCGAGAGGGGTTATGCACTCAAACCAGAAAAGGCTCTCTGCTGATCCACAAGTGTGATCCTGAACTCAACCAAGAAAACAGACCCAAGTACTCTCACGAGTCACTACACAACAACAAGAACAACATAACATAACACACTAAGAGATACTCAGAGAGAGAGAGAGAGACCCTGTTCTTGGAATCAGAAGAAGGGTGTGGAGGGCACGTGTTAATGGCGGTTTCTGGTATTGAATCTGAGGAAGACATGGCTTTCATGAGATACTCCTCGAGAGCCAACTCTGAAGCGCTTCTCTTCATGCATGTGTTGTCGTTGTTGTCTCTGTGATCCATTTTCACTTATTGTGCAAAGTGGGAAGAGAGGGTGGAAAGAGGAGAGGGAGGGAAGGAGGGGGGGGAGGAAGAAGAGGTGACGATGCTTTGTTTATATAAGGTTTTTTCAAAAGTTTCTCAAGTTAAAGTTGTCGACTTTATAAACTTCTCTTAACGACGAAGCAAATTGGAGGATGATTTGCTTAGTCATATGCCACGTCATCATTTGCATTTTCACAAACCCAACCAGAGAGAGAGAGAGAGAGAGAGAGAGAGAGAGAGAGAGAGAACGAAATTGATGTTTCATAGGGTAATTAAGATACTAATTATATTGCTAATGGCGGAATTAGCAGCATTTGCCTTCTTACATTTTTTTGCATGTTTGTGGAAGAAGTGGACATCACAAAAGCCCAAAGTTAAATATAGAAAATAAAGGACCATAACCCAACCATCATCTACTTTTTAAAAGCAGATTAATTCACTTTCCGTCAACTGCTTTTCAAAAGCATATTAAATACTTTTTTATCTTTTAAATTTTAATTTCTGGTTCGTAGATTATTTTTAAATAAAAAAAAAAGAAAAAAGAAATTAATATTTGAAGATTTGTAAAAGGCTGATAAACACATAGTAGACGGACTCACGAAGGGAGAAGTATCTTTGTGTTAAGCCCAAAACATATAATAGCCTTTCAAGATTAGGCTCGATTATTAACGAATTTTTATTTTTGAAAAAAATATATATACGGTTTGTATCCCGGTTCGAGTTTGTTCCCTATATAAAAATAGGGACTATTTTCTAAAACGATATTTTTTTTCAGATGTTTTCATATTAATTTTAGTTTGTATACTGTGAATTTGATTAAAAAATAATGTCAAGTCGATTTTTATATCAGATTTAATTCATATAAAGGCAACTATTATTCGGTCCGTTTTAGTTTTCTTTTCTTATTTCGGAAAAAATATATCGACCCTAATTTAAACATTTTATTCACAATGCACAGAAAAAATAAATAAAAGATTTGAACATTTTTTAACCCTAAATTTCTCATATATATAAAGAATTAAAACATCATACTCCCAATAATATTTTAAAAATGAAGCTCATGGTTAAAACTAGTGGGCCTTAGAACCCAACGATATAAAGAAAGTAGTCCAGTGAAATAAATGCCCAACGATTTATCATATATGAATATATATACATATATATAGTTGGAATTGGAAAGCATATCATATGGTTCGATTTCTAATTGATTCCGAGATCAATACAAACACATTTTGGACCGACGTCACCGAGAAGATTTGGAAAGCCACTAATCAACGGTGGCAGACTTTCTCAAATGAAATCTAGTTATTCTTTCAGACAGCTCTTTTTTGTTTTGATAAATTAAGAAGGTGAGAGACCGCACACACAAGAACTATCTCTTCATACACAGAACAGAAACAACAAACTAAAAGCACAAATGATCAGAAACATACATACATATATATATGTATTATCATGGTGATCCTCCATGACAATCAACCTTCCCCTTGGGCTTGTTCCGGAACACGAAATCGAGGTTATAAAGAACAGGAACCATTGCTGAAGAGCTCAAGAAGACGAGAACTGGTCCGAAGATCCAAAGCATGAGGGGCATGCCCATGTAGAATAGCCTGTTACCTACCGTGTTGAGCAAGAAACCCTTCTCCAGGAGCTCGGACACGTACTCGGGAGTGATGAAGTTGTCGGAAGACGGGTCTTGGTGATGATGAGGAGAGTTGATGAGGATGTTGACTTGGTTGATGAAACGGATGGAGAGAGAGTGAGAGAAGAAGGAGAAGAGGAAGATGGTGAGGATGGTGACGTACTTAACGGCCACCGTTAAGTCCCCGTGAGCTCCGAAGACGTGGTCGTTTAGGGGCTTCTTTATACTGTACGTGCTGCTTATGACAGCAGCCAGGCCTGCGCTTAGGAGTATACACGTGGTCGCCATTAACGTAGCTCCCATGATTGTGTTACGTAGTGTTTGTACTGCCAATATGTTCTTCTTGTCGTTGTCCTGCAGATTAAATTTTCCATATTTATAACGTTCGTTAGTAAAAAAAAAACCCTAGACCCATAAAAAGAAGTGTATGTATAGTTAAATATAGAGATCAGAAAGAGAAAAGCACTTCTCTGCAAGATTGGAAGTGATTAATCGATCCTTCAGTGTAGCCATGGTTATGTATATGAATAATGGAGAAATAGATGTTATAACATTTTGCACCATCGCACACCCACAGAGAGAGAGAGAGGGAGAGAGAGAGAGAGAGAGAGAGAGATGAAATATACGAAATACACAAGAGTCACAATCAAAGAAAAAGACCTTCATAATGGAGGCGACCCAAAAATGGCGGCCACGAGAATTGGTGCCGACGACGGTGGAGAAGGGATTGGTTCGAGCCTTGTGCCACAAGAAGATGTGATAACAAAACATCATCGTTAGAGACAGAGGCACCAAAACTGCGTCCAAGTACCATTCCCTCCACTCCATCATCATCATCCTTCTCCTTCTTCTTCTTCTTCTTCTTCTTCTTCTTCTTCTTCTTCTTGTGCTTAGTGGCCTCACTCCTTCTTCTCCTTGATGCTTGTGGCCCTTGTGTCATTAGCTTATATAAGGCTGTGAATGGACAGCTATTAGAATCGTAATTAACTAATGATTTATTTCCTTTTATATTTTATAAATTTGTTTTAATAAAATTGGATTTATTTCCTTTTGTTTACTATGTCCCCTGTCTGTACCCCACTTCTCTTGTTCGTGTAGCCTTGGAATTCTGGTTGGAGCCCATCTCTCATATATATCCTTTCGTTATTTAATGGTCTATCAGCCGAAATTAATGGCCACTTGTTCCCTTTTTAGGTTCTTTCATTTATTAATTAAATGGCTTCCCTTTTAGATTCTTCCATTTCATTAATTATATATATATATATATATATATATATATATACCAACCATCATCTACTTTTTAAAAGCCTGCCACATATATATATATCTGTTACTTCTTTCAATGTTGCAAAATAGGTAAATCAAAACTTGGATGAACGTGGAATATACTTATACTTTGTGCAGAGAAAGTTATACTATAATGAAATAAATGGAATGGTGGTTATAGAAAATTGTGTTATTAAAAAATATAAAAAAAATGGAATGATATTCAATATATTGGAAGTGTCTATCAAATTTCATTGGACATATTTATTATTTTTTATACGTAATAATTTCAAAAATGGAATATTTTATTTGTTATTGAGTGTTTTTAACGCTCGCTCGATATGAGATGCTTCCACACACGAAGAAAATATCAATGGGTGTTTAAGCATAAATTGCCAAGCTATTTATGTGGGAATCGTACGGGTATGAAATGAATGTGTGATTAAGCATATGCTACAATTACGGGGCACAACGTAATCTTTTGAAAGACGAACCAAAAAAAAAAAATTAAGTGCTCTCTTTATTCAATGGTCCATTTACCTATTTATCTCCACGTCATTTCGTTACTACATGTTCAAATTAATGGAGAGACGTCCCAAAGTGATATTCTTCTGTACTATATTATAACCTGCCGATAGATACAATTCATATATGTATATTAGTATATATACATACGCATGCATATATGTATACATGTGAATATATATGTCTTGTCTTGAATTGTATCTCGATCACTGGAATGTTTTGTGTGAACATCAACCTCATTTTTTGGAGTTAGGAATGAATTTACTGAATAGTTATTTAGTTTTCCACTTTAAATGGAATCATAACAATTGTTCAACACTTTTATCATTCACATAAATGTTTTCGAATTACTACTAATCAATCACAACAATTGCACTAGTTATATATGTATTTCTATATAGATATATACAAGTTGCGGGATACATGGAACAAAACTCATTTACAACCATGTTCGAATCTCCACTTGAAAAAGAGTATTCACCTGGATTTATCACACCCTTTAGAAGATATAATTGGACTGAAAATATGGTAAACTTTCGTATTATAAAAAAAATTGTGGAATATAAGCGGACAACTTGATTTTAGTTTTAACATTTAAATTTTTTTTTGGATATTCGACAGTCCTAAAATAAGATCCAAACTCATTTTGGAGACATATACGTCTCTCCCTCAAATTTTAAATTACAAATACAATATTATTTTATAAGCAAAAGCAGCTTTTTTGTTTATCAGATTATTTTTCATTGCATTAATCAAACACACACATTGGATGCAGGGTTGCTTACGTGGGCGCAAGAGAGAGCCGCTCATGGTTTCCACACCGTTCTGATCATCATGGGAAATTTAATTAAAATGGAATATCCAAAAACAATACCTAAAATTTTCAATTTTCACAAAATAAAATCTAAACTTTGTTTTTTATTAAATAAAATCCCAATTTTATTTTTCAGTAAAAATAAACTTGAACTTTAAAATATTTGTCATTTTTAATCCTAGTGGTGACGTGACGTTCCGACATCTTATGTGGCAAGTCAATATTTTGACCGTATTTGACACATCATCGTCCACATGTCACGATATCGGAACACCACGTCACTAATAGGATTAAAAATAACAAAGATTTTAAAGTTTAGGTTTATTTTTTACTGAAAAATAAAGTTAGGATTTTATTTGATAAAAAATAAAGTTTAGATTTTATTTTGTGAAAATTGAAAAGTTTAGGTATTGTTTTGGGATTTTTTCTAATTAAAAATAATAGAAACCAATTATATAAAAAATGTTTACAAATATTTCAAGTAAAAGAAAAATTATTTGAAAATGTTGATTAGAATGTACCACGGGAACAAATTAGTCTTAATTAAATTTACTAATAATAAACATATATATATTTCGGTGTTAGAGTTTTTTTCGAATTTAGAAAAGTAATAATCATTATTTTTTTTAAATCGTTTTTTTATAACAAGATATTCTGGACCAAGATCCAGACTAATTTCGGAACCGGAAACCAACCATGTGATTTGTATTATACGTTTCCTTTCCAAAGTTGGAGTTCGAACTGGAGACAAAATAGACACTTTGGGCCTCCGTTTCACCGGTTAAATTTGGGTTTTAAATATCATTCTTACAATGGATCCGAAGCTAGAATCGCCTAACGAATAATGGAACACGTGACAACTCAAATAAGCCAAAGTTATTATGCAAAGAAAAAGTTTCAAGACAATTTTCTCTTGCATGATAAGAAGGAATATTCTCGTAATCTCTTAAAGCCATTTTGTGCAATGAATACATCTCACTTGGAATTAAATCGTCATTAATTAAAATTGGAATTCCAATTCATTAAAAAAAAAGCTAGGAATACGAATAAGTTAATTATGGGTATTTAGAATTAGAATCCGACATGTTAATTCTCCATGCGACCCAATTGCTGGATCGGTAATTATGCTTCTGTACCTAACTTTGCTGGTTGGGTAATAGAATAAATATATTCCCATAAGATTTTGAGAATAAATAAAATTCGACCTTCATTATTACAAGCGTGTAATTTGAGTTTTAGGTCTGGCTTTCACTTTGCTTTGTGCTTCTTATACATATTTCTCTTCATACGATTAAGTAACGTGACATTATATTATAAGAAAACCAATATTTATTTGTTTATTATATTTGAGGTTTTTATTCGTTTTCTATTTGATAATTAGATCCGTCTTTTAACATGTGTAAGTGGTGCAACGGAACAGGGTCCCATAAATTTTGGAATCCTAATTTTAAAAAATAATTAATACTAATAGTTATACATAATTATAAAAATAAAATGAATCTAAATTTGGAAAAAAATCCTTTCAATTTTGACATTTGTTTATTTTGAAAAACATTACTCCAATGAAATATTTTAATCATAATTACTATACGTTATTAAAGAATTATATACAATTATAAAAATTAATTAATTACTCTTCAGAAATTATTTTTATTATTAACTTATTATTAATTCAAATTAAACTTTAAATTGATTTTACAATTTTCAAAATATATCAATAATAAATTTAAAAAACTATTTTTTAAAATTGAAAATAAAATATATTTATGATGCAAACTCTAAATTTATAGATTCCTTTTAAAATTATTATTATCATTAATACATAAAAATACTATAAATTTATTTATTATCATTAAATTATTTTTATTATATACATTAATAATTTTTAACATCATTAAATTGTTATTATTACTATTTTCTTATATAAATTTATACTTTTATATTCTTAATTAATTTTGATAATAATAATTTTATTAATTAAATTTTATAAAATGAAAAATTTTGAGATGGCTGTGTTGATAATTATTGTGTTTTGATTTTATTAGTTTTAGAAAAACTTTATTTGTTGATATTTATATTGGACTCAGTTTGGATTTTGTTTCGATTGAATTATTATTCTATTTTTTGTTAAAAGAAATTATTTTAAAAAATAGGTTTTATATGGTTAATTATTTTTATATTCACATTGAATGCCTTTCAAATGTAAATTTTTGACTTAAAAGTAGAGGACTTTGATATATATATATAT